GCAGCAGGGGCTGCAGCCTACACTGTCACCGCCGACTCAGGGCAGTCCAGCTCCAGGTTGAGCTGTTGTTCAGCATCTTAGCTGTAAGGGCAGTGTCACTGTCCCTCATATGTGGGATCCGAACTGGGGCCCTCTGGTGTCCCAAGCCAGCTCTTAACCACCATGCCACTTGGCTGGCCCTGAGGCTTTCTTTTAAACATTATTAGGACAGGTCCCGAGTAGCTTCTAGCCTAGGGTTAATCTACAATAGTTCCTCTACTTAGATATGACTTTTCTGAGAATTCTGTCCAATGTCTTGTATATTATGAGGAATTGGTATTGTTTACCTTACATGACACTGTTGTTGTGAGAACAAAATGAGGTTTTAGGCACGCGCGCGCGCACACACACACATACACACACACACACACACACTGGTGTATAATTCAATATGATTTAAGGATACAAAAATAGGGACTTGATAATGACCCAAATACTAGCATCAGTGCATTTATTTGCCAATATAATTAAAAGGGAAATGGAGGAAAAATATACCTTCCGATCCATTATGTAGAATAGGCCTCCCTGTGTCTTACAATATTGCTCTGTTCTAGAAGGCACAGTAGGGGGTAAAAGGTAAAGAATAAAACGTATTCTCAACAATTTCAACTAAATTGGGATGCAAATAGTCATGTTTTTATATTTACTTCTTTTTTTAAAGTGCTAAAATAAATGGTGTTTATTGTTATGATTTCATAATATATTTACTTCTTAATTTTGCATTTAGTAATCTGACTAGACTGCACAAGAATTTAAATGTCTTGGCTAGATAATACAGTGGCTCTTAGTTCTCTCGGGATTTCATTGTAATGAAACTGGTAAATAATTCAGGACCATATGAGAGGCCAATGAATGGGCAGCACCTGGTGCTATATTGTTCGTGCCTAAGCACGCAGAATCCAAAGATGGCATTCTACACCTGTCACTATTGTTGTGGCTTGAGCACAAGTCCCATATTTCATGGCTACTGAAATAATAATTGATATTTTTTTCTCTTCCAATTTTTCTCCATGATAAAAGAAAGCTATACTAAGTTGTTTCAAAAACATAAAGCAGAAGTGGCAGCCTCTTTTAAATTCCCACCGGTGAAATTTCAAATCTGTTTTCTATATTAAGGGATAGATTGCTTGGAAGAGTTAGGGACATGTCTACCTTGTCTGCCAGGGCTAATTGGAGCCTTTCTGCATTTCTGCTTTTGTCCTGCAAGGTAGAGCTTCTTTTTAGATCACAATATTCATATTGCAAGCATCTACTGAGAGACATAATGCGATCATCAGGCCACTCACTCATTCCTAGAGGCCTCAGTTTCTCTCCCTATTACCTGAGTAGTCTATCCTACTTCTAAGAGTTTTAAAACAAGCAAACAAAAAACTCTTGCCAAAGGGCTTGCTTGTCTTTCTGTGACCCCAGCTGACTAGACATAGCGAGTTCCTCCATTCTCTGAGAGAACAAGAGCTGCTGGAGTGACTGGTAGATATTGCATGCAAACAGCGTGGGGCACCAGAGCCCGCCACCACCCAGGATCAGACAGAGCTTAAGCCATGAGTTGCATGGAAAGGTCTTGGAAAGGCCAGGGATTTCCCAGTAGGGAAAAAAGGACAATGTACCTCACATGTCTAAACTAAAGTTTTTACAGTGCTGGGCCATAAAAAGGATCTGAAGAGACACTGTAGAACTTTATATCTATAAATTGTCAGATGTGCGTTGTCTTTGTTTTTAAAGTACTGCTTATTAAAGAGGTTTAAAATATGTTTATTTAAATATACTCGTATATTCTATTTTAAACCTTTGTTATATATAATAAAGTATATAGCTATACATAATAAAAATATAACTATATAATTAAAATATATAAAATATTTTAAACCTCTAATAATCCATTTACACATATATGTATATATTTCTGTTTATGAATATATATTTATATATATAATTTATTTGTTAACAGGTTTAATTGCTTTCCTTTCCTTCGGGACCTGTGTGAGAGTACTTGGAGCAGTGACTGCCATCTGGTGGCAAGCCAGAATCATCACTTTGTGTAACCTAATGGTTACTAAGATGCCTACTCCTGACTCACATGGTATGGACTGACAACAGGGGACCAGGACAGCCTGGAGGGTGGCTGATGAAGGAGCTTAGTGAAATAACCCTTCGCTCCACCTGAATGGGTTGTTCATCCCAAATTCTGAGCCAAGAGCCAGTTCTAAAATGGTGCCTCTGAAGAAAAGATTTGAGTTGCTCTTGTGTTTTAGTCGAAGATCTGCTGGTTAACTACCAGCAGGTAACCGAGACTGAAAAAAACGCATACCAAGAGGGGCATGTGATGACATGGAGTCTGAAATAAACTGCTCTGAATTATGTGACAGTTTTCCTGGCCAGGAGTTGGATCGGAGACCTCTTCATGATCTCTGCAAGACAACAATTGTAAGTAATGTGTCAGGGCTGCTCAGATATACATGTTGTTGGTAGACATGGTGGGGTAGAGGGCTGGGGGAGGAAGAGGAGGAAATGCTTTGGTGATGATGGGGGCAGTTCATGTTTAATCTATAGAAGAGCCTTCATTTATTTTTTTTTTAATAGCTGAGCCATCCTGCCACCTGTTGTCAGCTCAGCGGCAGCTCAGCTCGGGCAGGGACTCGAACCACTGTTGCTCAGAGCTCGCACTCTTAAACAAGCTCTTAACCAACTGAGCCACTTAGCCAGCCCAGAAAAGCCTTCATTTTTAACAGTTTCTCTTTATTCTGTTCTCAGACCTCTTCCCATCCCAGCAGTAAGACCATTTCTTCATTATCTCCTGTCCTCTTGGGTATTGTTTGGACTTTTCTCAGCTGTGGACTTCTCCTGATAGTCTTCTTTCTTGGCTTCACAATCCGCTGCAGGAAGAACAGGTAAGCAGCCCCATGCCTAGTTTCATCTCCCATAGCCTGAATCGTGAAACCCAGAATATTAGTATCATTTTAGCACCATGAGCTGCTAGCTTGTCTGCTCCTGTGGCATTAAGCTAAGTCAGAAGTTCTCCCCCTCCACCGCCTCTGCCCAAATGGCTCTGGCTTTGTGGTACCATTCCCTCTTGAGAAAGAGAAAGATCTAGCCTAGTATTGTGCTAACTACTATAAGGATACCAAAAAAAGAGAGTGAAGAGTCTCTCCTCATAAAGGACAGTACGATTCTTCTAAGAAAATGAGGTATTTGTATTAAAAACAGAGAGCATGTCATAGGAAAAGATGAAACAGTGCCATTTGCGACAACATGGATGGATCTTGAGAGTATAATGCTAAACGAAATAAGTCAAACAGAAAAAGTAGAGAACCATATGATTTCACTGATATGTGGGATATAAAACTGAAAACAACAAAAGAACAAGAAAAACAAATGAAGATACAAAACTCATAGACACAGACAATAGTTTAGTGGTTACCAGAGGGTAAGGGGAGAGAGGCGTGGTAGATGAGGGTAAACAAGATCAAATATATGGTGATGGAAGGAGAACTGACTCTGGGTGTGAACACACAATGTGATATATAGATGATGTATTACAGAATTGTACACCTGAAATCTATGGAACTTTGCTAACAATTGTCACCCCAATAAACTTTAATTTACAAAGCAAACAAACAAACAAACAAAAAACAGAGAGCATCTAGGGAAACATTCCAAAGCAACACTGAAGTTTACAGCCACACAGTTGGAACCAGTCTGGGTGGGATAAGGTTTCTGTAAAAATAATGAAGCCCTACCATCTGGCTGTCCTGCTAGACAGTTGTGCCTAGTTGGAAAGTCACTGGCTCATCAGGGTAAGAATCTACAGCTCTCAGGGTTGGCAAAAGAAATAAAATGATAACTTTTCCTGAAGGGACTTGCAGAATCTTGCCTTCACTGCTATTTGACCCTTCCCTCACAGACCACCCCGTCTTTTCCACTCCAATACTCTGAACCCTCACCCTGCCTCAGCTGTCCCGGGCTGTCTCCTGAGAAGCCCTGCTACAGCCCTCTTTCCCTGGCTCACAGCTATATTCCTGGATGGAGCCTACATCAGATTTCAACAGTTCCCTCAAAGAGACCAAACTCCTCTGGCCCCACTTCAGCCTTACACTTTGTGATCAAGTGTGTTTTGCTCCATTACCTGGGTTTGTCACTCAGGATGAAGGTCAGTCAGTTGGATTTCTCTAGCAGACATTTTGGGGTGCTATTGGCCATTTGAGTCACAGAGAACATGGAATTGTTAAGCAGCAGTGACTTGATCTGCTGGGTCAGCTGCGACGTAGCAGTGATACGTGGCACTCTGTCCTGAGTATACCCCTGAAGCTGCTCTAGCCACTTTTCATTCTTCCTCAAATACACCAAGCCTACTCTTATCTCAAGGCCTTTGACTTACTGTCTCCCTTCTGTTCCCACTGCCTAACAGTCTTCTCCAGATCTTCTCATAACTAGTTCCTTCTCATTGTATAGGTCTTGGCTCAAATGTCACCTCTTCAGAGAAGCCTTCCCTGATCGTCTTATCTAAAGTAGCCTCTCTACCCAATGGCCACCCAGCCCCTACATCTCATTCCATAACCCATCACTATTTTATGTTCTTCATAGCAAGGATAACGCTCTGATATTACCGTACTTATTGATTTACCTTTTTATTGTCTGTATCCCCCACTAGAATATAATGGGACCTTGTCTGTCGTGCTTACCACTGTCTCCAACATTTAGAAAAGACTCTGGAACATAATAGGTGCTTACTAAACATGTTTTCAGTGATCCTGGGAGGAAGGAGCTTATAATCCCAATGGTAGATGCTGCCAAGAAAATCATTAGGAAAATCACACATATCAAGATTAGAGATCTATGGAGTACAGTCTTTTCAGCTGCAACACATTTCTGTAGTGCAAACTAATACCTGATTGGCAAATAAGAAAATGATATAATTGGTTCACATGTAATGTTTTCCTAGAAAAATCAATGGTTTAAAGAATTCAAGAGCAAGCTTTCTTACAGTTAAAGAAGGAAGCCTTAAGCTAAGAATACTACGGCACTGCCTTCTCTTACAACAAGTAGTGGCTGGTTTAATGGCTTCAAGAACTGGCATCCTTCCTACAACATGAAGCTATCTGGTGAAGCTGTAGGAAAAGATGAAGAAGCAGAGAAGACATTTCCCTTGTATTTCAAAACAGTTGATTATTGAAGAAAGCACAGATCCAGAGTAGATTTTGATGACAGTGTTATTTATTGGAGGTGAATACCCTTGAGGACCTACATTTTGCAGATTTAAAGCTACAAAAATCAGCTGTGATCCTGGGTACAAATAAATGGCAGTGGACATTTACTGAGTGCTAGTATTTTGATGGGGTTAATTATTATTTTTATTTTTATTCTGGTTACAAAGTTAAATATGTTTCAAGTGTTATGGCCCCGTACTATTTTTCCCATAATACATTATTTTATACACAGTTTTGTAGAATGCAAGGTTTTTAAAGCATTAATATATTGTGTTAAAATAGGAACACTTGTAAATAGTGTTATAGTAGAAAAAAACATATTTGCTGCCTGTTTTGCTTGCAGTGGGAGCATGACTAGGCATGAAGAATAAAATATTAAGAGGCACTGTGAAGAAAAACACATTTTGCAATTAAGTAGCTTATGAGGTCAGACAAGAAAAGATAAGATAGCCCAATTTCAAAAGTGCTTTCTTAAATAACAAAATTTGTTAAAAGGTGAAGGATCACAATTAGATGCTTCATTTCATTCCAACTCTGTGGTTTCTAAATTTGTGATTGTGTATGTACACACATGCACATGCATGCATGTGCCATGGGAAAGAAAAACATTTTAATTAAAAAAAATAATATAGTAATGTTCAAGTTCAGTTGCAGATATTGCATTTTTGATAAAATATTAAAATGTAGTTTACAATAGAAAATCAGTAAAGATATAGGAGACTTGAATAATACCATCAACCAGCTTGACCTAATTGATATTTATATAATCCTATACCTAACACCAGTAAAATGCACATTCTTTTCAAGTATACATGGAACGTTTACCAAGATAGAACATATTCTGGGACATAGAAAAGGTCTTGTTAAATCTAAAAGGATTCAAGTTATACAGAGTATGTTCTCTGACCACAGTTGAATTAAATTAGAAATCCATAACCAAAAGATCTCTGGAAAAACCTGAAAATATTTGGAAACTAAATAGAACATTTTAAAATAACTCATGGTCAAGGAAGAAATCAAAAGAGAAAGCATAAGATATTTTTGACTAAATGAAAATGAAAACACAATATATCAAAATTTGTTGGAGGCATTAAAGCAGTACTTTGGGGTGGAGGTGGAGGTGGGGGAGAGTGATTATAGCACTAAACCCCATATTAGAAAAGAAGAAAGATCTGCTTTACAAAACAGAAAAAAAGAAGCAAATGAGTACCTAGAGTAAGCAGAAGAACAGAAATAATAAAGATCAGAATAGAAGCTGATAAAATAGAAAACAGAAAACAACTGGGAAAAGCAGTGAAACCAAAGCTTTTTATGATGAATGATAATATTGATCAACCTCTAGCTCAAGTGATCAAGAATAAAAGAGAAAAGATATAATTACCTAAATAAGGAAACAAGAGGTATCATCACCTAAGATTCCACAGATAATAAGGTACTATTAAGAACAACCATGGTAGGCAGTCTCAAAGATGTTCTTCAATGATTCCAACCTCCTAATAGTTACACTTCTGTGAAATCCCCTCTCCTTGAGTATGTGCTAGACATACAGACTTGCTTATAAATGAGATGTCACTTTTGGGACAAGGATACAAAAAGACTATGGCTTCCATCTTGGATCTGTCTCACTCTTTCACTCATTTACTCTGAGAGAAGCCACCTGCTGTTTTGTGAGCTGTTCTTTGGAGAGGCCCATATGGCAAGGAACTGATGTTTCCAGGCTGCAGCCAGCAAGGACCTGAGGCTTACTAACGGCCATGTAGTGAGATTGAAAATAGATTTTCTGAGGTCTGCTAACAGCAAAGTGAATGAGCTTGGAAGCAGATTTTCCCCCTAGTCAGGCCTTGGAGGACTGCAGCCATGGCTGTTCCATTAACTGTATTCTTGTGAGAGACCCTCAGCCAGGGACACCCAGCTAATCTGTGCCTGTATTGTTGCAGTTTTATTCAAACTCTTCTAAAACACTAAAAATAATGGAGCATTTCTTGATGCATTCTATGTGGTCAGCAATACCCTGATATCAAAACCTAACCCACAGAAAACAAACAAACAAAAAACCCTATTAGTTAATATCCTCATGAACATAGCTCCAAAATTCTAAACAAAATTTTGACAAATGGAATCCAACCAAATATCAAAAGGATAATGCATCATGACAAAGTGAGGCATATTCCGGGAAGTATATTCCAGGAATGCGAGGTTGGTTTTAACATCCAAAGATTAATCAATGTAATTCACCATGTTTACCAACTTGAAAAAAAACAAAAACATGATCATCTTAATAGAGAAAAAGCATTTGACAAGATTCAACATCCATTTCTGACAGCCAACAAACTAGGAATAGAAGAAAACTACCTCAACCTAACAAAGTACATCTATGAAGAGCCTATAGCTAACACCATTTTTAATGGTAAAACACTGATTGCTTTCTTATTAAGATTAGAAAGATGTCTGCTTTCACTACTTTTATTCAACATTGGAGATTTTACCCAGTGCAATAAGATAAGAAAGAGAAGTAGAAGGCAACTAGTTTAGAAAGGAAGAACTAAAATGGCTTTTTCCTCAGGTGAGCTGATCATCTATGTAAAAAATTCAATAATCTATTTCGTTTAAAACTGCTAGAATGAATAAATGAGTTTCGCAAAGTTCCAGGGTACAAGATCAGTGTACAAATCTCAACTGTATTT